AAATACAGTACGAAGAGAGAGAACGCTAACCTTGCTTGACGCGACTTCTGGCGCGGAGGACAGGGAGGCGGTTATTGCTTGGAGGGAAAGTCCCCCTCCCTACAGGAAGCCATGACCATGTGTCACGGGAGGGGAAATGGCCACGGATCCTGTTCGTCACCCAATCCGGCGTTCGTGAACAGAGCCAAAATTTTGCGAACGGAGCTGTTCGTGACCCGAATTGGTCGTGAACAGAAGCGTTCGTGACCCGAGGTACCACTGTATCTTATGTCTGTTAAGTTAACTGAAGTGTTAAACTAACTATTTCCTAATTCCTGAAATAAACGGAGGACTTTCTGCTTGTGATGAGGTTCTGAAGCATATCTATCCCCACTAGAGATCATAATGAACACATCTTCCAAACTCTTCTGGGCAGCCCCCCCCCAACCCTATTGGATTAAAACGATGGGAGTTACAATACACAAAATGAAGTCAATGCACCTTCTAAATTAACTAGATTATTTAAAAATGTAGGTTAAAGAGAGGTTATCTTTCATATTTGTAGCTTCAGACTTAAGCATTGCAATAAGATTCTATATTCTCTTTTGAAATTTCCAGGCATGATGAATTTGTAATATAACTCTACCTTCATTGCACTGAGCTAAAGATAGCTGAAGACTGTTTGAAGGAAAAGGTTCAATTTGTGATAAGCATAATTCAATAATTTTGATCAGAGATAAATAGGATTAAAAAAGAAGTGTGAATAACATGGGAGGTAAACTGTGTCAAATTATTTCCAGTTCTCTTAAAAAAAATATGAGTTCTATATGCATATTCTACTTTCTCAAATGTTGGAGACTCTTGAAAAAATATCTGCCAGGTTACTTGATTCTCAAACTGCCCTTTTCAAACCCAATTTAGCAGCCAAATTGGATTTCTCCATTTAATTTATTTTATCTTAGCGGAGCTTTAAAAAATAGTCTGTGCTAATGTTTCCAAGTAAAAACCTGTATTCTGGTAGTCATTTGCCCGACTCAAAAGATTTCCTTGATTTCAGTGGACTATATATGAAACTTGTCAGCAGATGATGTCAGCAGATGACACTTGAAAAGGGCAGAGTTATTTCAGGTATAAACTTGTAAATGTTGAATCACACAAGGAGTATAAAGGAGTCTAAAGGCCACCTCTCCTCTGAAGTTGCTTATTTCTATTTTAATTGATCTTTTTTATGTAGGTATGAATAAAGCAGTGCATGAATTGAGTAAAGAATATGGCTCTGATTCATATTTTTAAAGCAAATAATTCTTGTTTTAGTTATTCTCCTTTACTTAGGGTGTGGCAGAACAGGTATAACTATGCAGATTAATAACTGGGGTGGGACATTTTAAAATTATTATAATTTTTTTAACTGTTCCTTAGTTGCTAACATTGCATATAGCTGGAATAAGCATTTTGTATGCCTTTCTCCAGTGTTTTAAAACCATAGTTCAACCTTTCAGAATAAGTTTTAAAAAGTAGATAAAATGAGACATAAAGATATGTGTCTACTTTGGGGTGGTTTTATGATGCAGTTAGGGAAAAAGCATTCATGTCTTTCCTCTGCTTTTTCCCATCACAAGATTGAATCAGTATTCAGAATTGTAGACAGAATTCAAAAAGTGCATCTCTTTGTCAGGTCTTAAATCATGTGAGCCAAAATGCAGCTCTTTCCCTTTGCTTATTTATCACATCTGTCTGTTGAAATGTAGACAGCAAATTGAAAAGCATTAAAAGAACTAAGTACAGGTAGTCCTCGCTTAGTAACAGTAATTGGGATTGGAAATTCTGTCGCTAAGCGACACGGTCATAAAGGGTGACATCACATGACCATGCTGCTTAGCAACGGCACTTCTGGTTGCCGTCGTTAAGCAAATCCAGCGACATCATTAAGTCGCTATTTGCGACATCCTGCTGGCTTCCCCGTTGAAACCAGTAGTGAAGGTCACAAATGGCAATCACGTGACCATGGGATGCTGTAAGGTCATAATTGCGAGCTGGATACCAAGCACCTGAATCATGATCACTTGACCATGGGGGACACTGTGACGGCCACAATTATGAGGGCAGGTCATAAGTGCCACTTGTTCAGTGCCATTTAACTTTGAACAGTCACTGAATGAGTAGTCATTAAATGAGGACTACCTGTGCCACTAATTTGGCTCCTGCATTAACTAAAAGCTTGGGAGAAAAGGATTTTAAATCATCTTACAGTCTCTGTTTTGTCTTCAAAACCTATAATTGAGTCTCCATGATTTTTATTTAGAGCACAGAGTCAATAGAAACGTGTGCATGAATTCCATGCATGTGGTTGTCTTATAGTCCTTACGTTCTTTCTGCAGTGTTGCATCACAAGTATGATTCTTCAAAATCCAGCACATATGTGAAAAATGGTACAGATTTCGCCATCCATTATGGTACTGGAAGCCTTTCAGGATATCTCAGCCAAGATACTGTAACGGTTAGTACATTGACAGCATTTCATTATCTAAGTCATAAAAGGCTCCAACTCTTTTTATTTTTATTTTTATTTTTATTTATTGATCATATTTGTATGGCTGTCAGTCTCACGAGAGAGTGACTCTGGGCGACATACAGCATTCTTTAGCCAAAATACTGAATTAGTTTTACTTCATTGTGGTTCTGAGAAAATATAAAAATATTTGACAGAGTGCTTAAATATCACATGATTGTGTCTCCTTATTTAAAAAGGTAAGTGTTTACTTAAGGGCTTACTTAGCCAGGGGGGGAAAAAAAAAACCCACCCCAAACAAACAAATCATAAGAGGCTATTCAAACCTTTTGGAAAGGAGAAGTTGACATTTTTTCCATTTCCTCAGATCATAAGAAATGAACTTAAACTTCCTTACAGGCTTGGTTTATTTTTCCCTAAATACTGCCACTGTACCTTTAGTCATCTATAATGGAAAAAGCAAGTAAAGGATGAAGACTCATAGCGGGGAAATGTTGGATTAAAAGAACACTGTTCAAGTAAACGCGTAGATCTTTCCTGCGAACCATAGACTGTTTGTCTCATGGCCATAGTACTATGATTCCAAGCTATTTCCTTACTCATAATTTTATTATGTATGTCCGGCTTTTTCATCACTTTAACCATATAACATGGCCATCTTGTTTTACCTCCCTTTGGAAAAGATAGCAGAAATTTTCACTCGATAGATTGAAAGTCCCAGTTCTTAGAATTCAAAAATTTTAAACTTAAGTCTTTAAGAAAGGAGGAACGACAGACTTTAGCAACTAGAAACCTCCTTTTGAAGGACAGAGCTTGATCTTTCCCGTGCTTCCTAGGGAGTTCAACTCTAAGAGTATCGGGAACATCTCTCCAGATCCCCTGAATATTCTGAGGAGCCCCCCATTATGGAATCAAATGGGCAATTTTCAGGTTTCCTCTTGATCCAAGAAAGCCCCACTTGCTCAGGGGGCAAGCCCCCCCGCCCTGGTTGTTGGTTAATGCTTCAGTGTCATTCTGCGCTTCACAGACATGTCTTCAGTCTGCCATGTCGCCCCCCCCCCATACTAACTATTTACTTAATGGAATAAATAAATAGTTAGCTTCTTCTGCCCCGTACATTTCCTTGCTGTTTCCTAATCTATTATATTCCTCATGTTTTTTTTTTCTTTTCTGCATACTCTTTCTTCCTTTACCTTTACTGTATTGGATTTTAATTTTGCCAGAATATGAAGCTCTTTTCATCCATAATCAATAACTTACATAGCAAGTTATTTATCTGTTTGATTCCTTGTGAAAAACCTTATTTCAAACTTTTGTAGTCTTTAATGAAGTAATATGAGCTATATGGTTGGAGAATAATCTGTGGCTTCTAGATTTGGCTGAACTACAGTTCCCAGCAACAGATTTAGTAGCGTAGCCATCCAGTTCACCTACCTTCATTTGAAGGAAGTGGCTAAGTTAGGATGATACAGTCATCCTACACAGAGTGCAAAGCACTAAGCAATCCATTTAGCAATTTCTGGGTATTTGTGTCTTGTCTGCTGTATACCACACAGGGTTCATTGAGAAGTATCAAGTGAATATTGCCATTTCCAGGTGTAGTTTAAGCATGTATTTTGAGTTCTTCCCTTCTGTTTTTTTCATCTTAGATTGGTGACCTGTGTGTCAAGAATCAGATGTTTGGTGAAGCTACCAAGCAGCCTGGCATCACTTTTATTGCTGCAAAGTTTGATGGCATTCTTGGCATGGCGTTCCCCAAGATTTCTGTGGATAAAGTAGCACCTTTCTTTGATAATGTAATGGACCAGAAATTGTTGGAGAAGAACATATTTTCCTTTTATCTAAACAGGTGAGACTCAGACTGGTAGACTGAAATCTTACTGTCTAATTTTATGTCTGCCCGTGCTATATAGCCAGTTTTTAGAGCATAATGGCCAGAGGCCCACCCATTTTCAAAGCAACAGCCTTACTGTCATTAGATATAAATCAAGATATTCCTAGGAGACCATGCCCATTTTAGTTACAGTTTTATACAAGGGGATGGCACTACAAAGATGCAGATTTTGACATTTCTGAAGGCTCTTGAACCGTATCAGGCCAGACACTTAGTTATATAGACAATAACAGATCTATTGCCCAAGCAGATATCTCTTGTCTTTGAAACAAGTTCAGCTGAATTCAGTTTGGACTTACTAGGGAGAGTTAGGATTGCAAAGTTGTTGATATCCATGAAGAAACAGGGAAGGTATATTTGAATTATGTTGTTTTTCTAGGATTCTGTGAAAGTGTCTTAGATCCAGTACCTTTTGGTCTTTATTTCTGCTCTTTATTCTTTATTGTTTCTGTAAATTCTGTCGAGTGGCTCAGAGGCTGCCTGCTTGTTTGTACTGATTTTTTTCTTTCTGCGCTTGTGTATTGTCTCTTCAAGGAATCCAAAAGCAGAAACTGGAGGGGAATTGCTTTTTGGAGGGACAGATTCCCAATATTATACTGGAGACTTCAGTTGGGTGAATGTAACTCGTAAAGCTTATTGGCAGGTCCATATGGATAAGTAAGTTCTCTTTGCTTTGGTTATATGTCTGCAGCTTACTAGCATATGTCTGCAGCTTACTAGCATATAGGTTTAGATAAGTCCAAAATCTATAGCAAAATGTTGCCTTATGGCATATAACATTTAGTAATTTAGATGGCAACTTCTAATAAGGGTGGTTCTGTTCAGACATTACTTGCTGCAGAAGGAGAATTGGGGTGGAAAGGAAGGAAGTAGTATAGTTTTAAATGCTTCCTTCTCCTGAAAGTTGTCTTTGCTGTGGTATAGTAGTGTAACTACCACAGACTTCAGAATATTTTATTGCTGTATATTGTGTTACATGCAGGTTGGAAAGTATGTTAAATAATTCTTGTTTTTATCTTCTTTCTTGCCCCCACTCCCACCCCTGTACTATTAGAAAGAAGAAATGGGGAGAAATATTTTGATAACTTGGTGTGTTGATTTGTCTGATTTGTCTGAATGCCAAGCTTCTAGGAATTCCCTAGTATTTCTAGATTTGGTTTGGAGCAAAGTCCTGAGATGAGTCCTGATAATGGTGACTAATAGCAGAGACAAATGCAGTGTCTAGAAGCTATAGCACTCCCACACATACAACCATGGTATGTAGACAACACCGTCATAATAAAAAAGGAACAACTAGAGGGGACACATGAGAAATCAACAACATCTTCAAAGGAATAACATTCACAAGGGAAGAAGAAAACAACAACATAGTACCCTTCCTAGATATCCTCATCAGGAGAGGAAACGATAGCAAATTAGAAACACAAGTCTATCAAAAAACAACCCATTACCAAAGTAGCAACCAAACCTCCCACAAGAGATGCTGTGTAAGAACATTATCCAGATGAACACAAACACACTGCAGCAACCTGGAATGCCAGAAAAAGGAAACAGACCGCCTATCCAACAAAATGGATACCCACACAACTTTATCAAAAAGTGCCTGACCACTCAACCTACTACAGCACAACTAGCACAAGCTATGAAAAGGATAACAATACCATTGATCAAAAGCATCTCAGAAACAATCAACATACTATTAACAATCACTTGGCATCACTGTAGCACACAGACCAGCTAAAGCTTTCCTAAACATCTTAAGCAAAGCAAAAGACCCAGTAGCCCAAGAAGAAGAAACGAGTCATCTACAACATACAGTGTAAGGACTGTAACAACCACTATGTAGGACAGAAGGCAGAAGGCTAGCAGAGCGCATCCATGAACATCAACTAGCAGTCAGAAGACATGATGAAAACTCCTTAATCTCACAACGCATGGAAAGACTGGGAATTTCAACTGGGAAACTGTTAGCATCTTAGATCAAGCCAAATCCAAAAATTCTAGGGAATTCCTGGAAGCTTGGCATTCAAACAAATCAGCCATCAATAGACATATAGAGAGAAACCTTATTTACACACCATTCAAAAGAGACAATAAAAAAGCTAAGAAGGAAACAAAAGGATCAGAACATATCCTCCCCATCAGCCAACACCTAGATAAGCAGGGATTAATACCAGACAAACAAGCAGAAAACAATACCCTAATTAAGGAACTACCAAGGAGAAAACCACCCCCCCCCCAACACTGGCAGGGCAAGCTACTGTATATAAACAGGGAGCAAACCCCACACTTACACTGATGATGTTACCTAGTTGGGTAATGAAATGTCTCCAAGCAAACAACCAAGCTCAGAGAGCACCAAGGACTCCACAGTCCAACCCTGAGCTACATATATTCTCTTCTATTAAAACATGTACAAAAGCTCGTCCTCTGCATATATAACTTTCTAGTGAATTTCCAATAATTGTATTCAGTGCAACTGTGCATGGATTTGATATTTTGTTCTTGGGTTTTTTTTAAAAAAAAAAAAACGACTGAGATCCATCTTTCCTTACAGGGTTGATGTTGGCAATGGCTTGACTGTGTGCCAGGATGGCTGTGAAGCTATTGTAGACACAGGAACCTCACTTATTACAGGACCAACTGAGGAAATTAAAGAGTTGCAGAAAGCCATTGGAGCTAAGCCAATCATTAAAGGACAGGTAAATTCAGACAGGAATTGGGGTATTCTGGTGGTTCAGATATTAGACTTACTAGCTTATTTTATTTGTGTGTTTATTTATTTATTTGATTTTAATCTCACTTCATTCAGACCTGATGCTAAGCATTAGTCCTCATTTAGTCAAGTGTTATTATTTATGCATTGGTTTAAATTTAGGTTGTGTTCAGATACATCTACTGGCTTTGCGTTGCCACCACAAAGGAGATCCAGTTTGGTCTAGTGGTTAAGGTATCAAGTTAGAAACCAGGAGACTGTGAGTTCTAGTCCCACCTTAAGCATGAAGCCAACTGCGTGACCTTGGGATAGTCACACTCTCTCAGCCCAACTCACCTCACAGGGTTGTTGTTGTAGGGAAAATAGGAAGAGGAAGGAGTACTAGGTATGTTCGCCACCTTGAGTTATTTATAAAAATAATAAAGGCAGGATAAAAAAAAAATCTAAAAAGAGAGTTTTCTTTCTAGTTCAAAGTTATGTTATCTTGAATAATTTATTTGACAGTTTTGTAATTTGCATCCCATGCCAAAATGTACGCATAGAGTCCAGGCCATAACAACTTCTTCCCTATGCCTCTAATATGATAGGAAGAAACTAAACTAATGCAGTTCTTTCCATCACAGTTCTCTAGTTCATGACATAATACCTGCCGGGTGTTTCTGTTCTGCATGGTAGTTGAAGGCATGGAAATAGTTTTCTGTAACCTGTTAAATCCCTCAGTTGTTTTCTGAATAATAAAGCTTCTTCACTGAGCTGTCAGTTACTCTTCAAGTAGAAATCATAAATACTGAATAAACATCTTCAGATTCAGTGGAACCATCAACCTTCAATTCCTCACAATGGCAGCAAGAAAGGCAAAATCCATTTTAGGAATTAAGAAAAGAACAGAAAATAAAACCACTAATATAATGTGTCCATACAAATTGTAAGTTACATTTTGAATATTGGGAATAGTTCTGATCCACCTTCCTCAAAATGGTTTTCGCAGCTTTAAAAATGTAGCAAAAGGCATTCAAAATAAATCAACTCATGTAACAGGGAGTTCTTTTAGTATAGAAGAAGAAAAAGAACAAGTGTGGTCCTCTGGAACTGCATTTTGTTTAACTAGAGTTGGATTTCCAATGTCTTTAATTTGAGTGGGTCAGTGGGTCCCTTTAATGGCTAAGTTACCTACCTTGACTCTGACAGGTTGACCCTCAAGATGTCTTCTAGCTGGGTAGCAAAGATACCTTCCCATTCCTTAAAAGTATATAGGAGTGCTCTAACCCTTGGCTCTGTACTGCAGTCTCTGCTAGAAAAATTATTCAGGGCTGGCCCTTAGGGTTCAATTGGTCCCATAGGTGCCACCATGTGGCAGAAGGGATGAGCCCCTTGGATGAAAGGTTGGATGTCTCAAACCTTCTTTCCCAGAAACTCCCTTGGGATTCCCTTCTTGCCTTGGTAGCTCCTTGGTAGCTATTGTAGTTACCACTTATTTTATAGAGGAAAGCTTTACCTCCTTTTTAACTTTGGCACATGAGAGAGGTAGGATCTCCATAGCCTATGCAAGAACCCAGGGGAAAAATGATAAAAAAAGAAACTTATTCTGTAATTCCATCTTCTCAGCCTCTAGCATGATTCATGTGACTAGGGAAATCAGTTCTCCCTTCTCTGGAGATCAGTCTCACAAGCAATAAATAAAATTACTTTATTAAAGAAAGGGGAAAAAAAAGAATCTAAAAATTCCTTTTGTTCATTTAAGTAGTCACAGGTAAAACATTTAGTGGCGAAGAAGTTAAAAATATAGAGCTGTTCAAAGGACAGCATCTGAAAAAGATCTCCCATAGAAAAACTATAAAGAACAATAGAAGATTCTTGGCAGGTACAAGATGATAGATCTGCTAATACGGAAGAAACTCTGTATTGAATAAGAGGTGCCAAGCTGCATAAAACACACAATTTACTTGAGCAACTACAGTGAACATAAATATTAGGAACAATATATATCAGAGACAGTAGAGTTAAACATGCAATAAAATAAAGCATAAACTCTTAATTTAAATTTCTGGCTCACCTGTTCTTTAGAAACAAATGAATTTCCTGAAGCAGAAGATTTCTCTTTGCTTCCTCTGGATTTTCCAGATTCTTGAAGCATTACAATCTTTAATCAAGGGCTCGGGAACAATATTACCTTAGCTCCTTTTCCTGCTCATATTCAGTTTCACCACGGACATTAGAAGACAAAAAATGTTTTTTCTTCAGAAGGGAAGGGGTTAGAGAACTCTTGGCTACATGCTAAACTCCATGCCACAGTCAGAAAAATTCTGCTTGAGACAGAATTGTTGATTCCATCTCTGAGAAGTAGCTGTTAATTTTATGAACGCCAGATGGCACCTCAATTATGAGTGATAAGAGTTCATAGATATGCAAGGACTGAATAAATACAAGCGGAAATACATGGGGCTGCCCTTGGAGACCACTTGGAAGCTTCAAGTAGTCCAGAATGCGGTGGCAGTGGCAATGATGAGATGCCTTAGTATGCCTATGTGACCTCACTGTTCTGCAAGCTGCACTGGTTGCTCGTGAGCTTCCAGATGCAACTCAAGGTGCTGGTTATTACCTATAAAGCCCTTCATGGTTTAGGGCTATATTATCTGAGGCACCGCCTATCTCCCATGGTTTCTGCCCATCCAGTAAGACTGGGCAGAGTTGGAGTGCTTTCAGTCAAACAATGCCATCTATCAGGAGCCAGGAAGTGTGCCTTCTCTGTTGCAACCCCTGCACTCTGGAATGATACCCCCTCCCCCCAAGATATCTATGTAGCTGCCACCCTGATGTTCCAGAAGTCTTTAAAAATTTGGCTGTTCTTCCAGGCTCTGGAATAGGGTGTTTGTGGAGCCCTGTCAGTTATGCTTTTTTGTTTGAGAGAGTGTATTTGTCCAGATGCATAGGATCATCTTTCTACTGTTTTCCTTTAATTGTTTCTTATTTTTTGTTAATTCTGGCCAATGAGGTCTAGACTCTGAAAATTGATCTCCAGTGAAAACAAGGTGCATTGAACTAGTATCTGTGAACCTCTAATCTTTTATTTCTTAGGCAGCCTTCCTCAACCTAGTGGCTCCCAAACGAATTGAATTATAACTCCCATCATTCCCAGCAGCATTACCAGTGGGGGTTTCAAATACATCTAGGGATGACCATTTTGGAGAAGGCTGCCCTAACTACTAGAGAGCCAGTTTGGTGTAGTGGTTAAGGCATCAGGCTAGAAACCGGAAGACTGTGAT